TTTTGTTAATCCTTCAAAAATACTATTATTCAATTAAGATTTGAATAAAATTGGATATATAACAATAAGAATAATATAATAATCACATAACAAAATCTAATAAAAATAAGCTATAAATAAAATAATATTAAGTATTACTACCATCCATATAACATATTTAGAGAAATATAAAAAAGAAGAAGAATTCATTTTATATTTATCAAATTATTTAAAGAGATTGAAAAAATCAAATTGATTGGAGAAATTAAAAAAATATAAAAGTGTAAAATAAAAAAAATGTATTAAATTGATTGGTTAAAAAATTGAAAAAAGATAAAAAAATAAAATAAAAAGTGCATAAGAAAAAAAGTTCATAAATATAAAATATAAAAGAAATAATCTTATGTATAATATAAAAAAATATTTAAAAAAATTAAAATTTAGGCTTAGATATAAAATTATGACAAAAATAAGAGAAGTGAGAGTTATATTATTTATCCGGACATCGCTCCTAACTTATAAACACAAGAAAAACCTGAACTCACTCCATAAACTGGCTTAGAGAGTGGAGTTGAATTTCTCGTAACTCTTACGCTAATTAATACAATGAAGAGGATAAAAGCACGAGTCTTGTTTCTTAAAGGCTATAGACTTTGGGCTTTTAAGCTACCTCCATTATGTAGAGAAGGAGGAGAAACTTTTAAAGAGAAGGGAGAGGAGAGTGAGAGAGTTTTCTTCGACCACGTTGAGGAGAGAATGCGAGAGAAATTTTCCTCTGCCTCCTTCGGTCTTCCAATAATGAGTTTTTGCCACTTGTCATGTCACCAAAACTCGAGGAGCAACAGTCTTCTAATTAATTGTCCTAATTAATTTCTAGTAAATTATTTATATTTATTCAAGCATTAAAATTTTTTTACATTCCCATTAGTTAGTAATATAATCTTGTCTTAGTTTGATTTGTTCGATTTAATTGTTAAAGTGTTCCGAGAAGTAAACTATTTAATTGCAAATGGATTTCATACGCAATATTGATATTCTTAAATTGAATTTTATTAATTAAGATTTATTATAAGTGTATGAGTCTGACTCTTACAACAAAGAAAACATGAGTAGTCAAGAAATATGAAGCTTTAGGTGTATTTCATTGTTAAAAAAAACATAATTCGAGATGAATAAACCAACTTTTATTTCCGCTACACAATGCAAAGATTGTGAAAAAGATGAGGATTTCGGATATAATCACTAATATCCTTAGTTTAGGTAAAAATATTTACTTACATAATTATGTCAAAATACTAAATCGAATATTTTTACTAACGTTTTACTTTTGTTTATTTATCCTTGTAGTAATATATAATTAAAAAATATATTAAAATAATAATTAATATTATAAATAATAAATAAAAAATTTTAACTTTTAATTTATTTTCAGCATCTTTCAATTTACATAATTACACTTTCTATTTTTTATATTTGTACTTTTGCGGTTTTTAAAATTCACTCTCCAATCTAAACAAATATTAATATTTTTTTTTCAATTTTAAAGAGTTGATAAAAGTCAACAAAGTTGACTTTGTAAGAAAAAAATCAACTTTTGATTTTATAAATAAAAAACTAAATTTTGAAATTTAAAGTCAACGGTTGACTTTTCCTTATTGACTTCTCTTAATAAGAAATTTAATTTGTGCATCATACTTTCTAATTTATGTTTAATTTAAAAGCCTCAAACATTGATATCTTACTGTTTAACTCATGTAACAAAATATTTTATTATATATTTAATTAACGTCAATTATTTTTTTACAATTTATATAAATAACAAGTTATAGAATATATATATTTATACGACTGTCATCTTGCTTCTAATTAAATATTCTTTTCGTGACGATATTTTCCTCTCGTGCCCTCGGTTTGGATGTCTAGCAAGGTGAGACTCCAAATCTTAAACTTCTAAGTTTATTGAGCTTTATTTGGATTTCCTATAGTCTTATTATGATACCTTGAAGTGCTAATATATATATATATATATATATATATATATATATATATATATATGAATATCATGGGCGGTTTTTACGTGGACTCGGACATTAGCCATGACTTTTACTTTATCCAAGAAAAGACTCCTATCTTTTAGTTGTATTTTTTGTTTTATCTAAAAGAATTTAGCCTTGGTTTCCTTTTTATCAGTTCTATTTTATGCTTGTCCTCTGCGATACTGCCTCTGCAACAGTGATCTTAACCATTAGATTTTGTTGTCACGTGAAAGAAGTTAGCCGAAATGCGTTCAGCTAAAGATGTTCCAGCACAATTCCATAATTTGAAGAAAATATCAGGTCATGTTAAGACGTTAACGGGACAAATCTCTTGACTGGATATATATATAGGTCTTTAGGTCACTCTAGACAGTGTCTCCAAAAAAAACAGAATAAACTGAATGATACTGTAAACTATAGAAAAATTATGAAGAGAAGAATGATTGATTATTGCATTGATTCGTTGGCCTTTAACATTGCTGAGTATCTCTCTTTATACTGGAGGAAACAAGTTAATCATGAATAACTGCTCTAGATATTGTATCAACTAATCGGTCACTACAAAAATATTTTCAATCCTTCTGTTATTATTGGTTCTATTTCTTTGGAACTCGTCGTCCCTTTGCAAATCCATTCGTTATAATCATCTTTCTCTTTTGTTCGTTGCTTTTATATTGGCCTTTACCATCATCTTCCCGTAGTCAACTAACTTTTAAACATCAGATTGATCTCTTTATGACCTCTTTTGGCTTAACAACAATCCCTTATCAATAGTCGAGCATATCGGTCAATCATATCTTCCCAGGTTTTCAGCTATGATTTTATTTCACAGCAACTAACTTTTACATAATTGTGGTGTGAAAGGTTGATATGTTGCTTTAATTTAGAGAAATTCCAAATTCTGATTCTGATGGAGATGCATCCATCCATCCAATAAAAAGCATATCCATTTAAAGCTGTGTTTTCACATATCTATACCATTGAAATTTAGGTTATTCACGTATTGTTTTAGTACATCAGAAATTTTTTCAACGACTAAAATAAAAGAGCCATTGTAGTAAATGATTAAGAAAATGGATGAGAACTAGTTGACTAGTTTTGACCGTTACTACCATTTTAAAAAAAAATGGAAATAAAATTGTTCATTTCACAATACTTTTTACACCTCTGTTACATGTAGTAACGCAAAGGGGAGGGAGAAGGCCAAAATGCTCTTTTGAATAATGTAAAGAGAGGTATTAAAAAGGTGGCGTGAAATAATGACCAGTTAGAAAGAAAAATAACCGTTGCAGAGAAGAAAACGCGAAAGGGAATATCCTGGCCCCATTGATGCAGCTGGAAGTATCGAGTAATGAACTGATGAGGATCTTAAGTAAGACTCACTCATCTGTTCAATTTGATCCTATTCTGCTCCAGTGGCAAACCCACCACGTGAACATTCCTTATCACTTCACGTGTAAGGTTTCTTTTGGGAGTTGAAATTGAATTATGCACATAAAACATGTGACTGAATAGAATGAGTGGTTCATAGTTGCTGCAAGTTCCTTTTGGCATGGCATAGGTACAAAGTTAAAGCCTACAAGACTTTGTCCTTGTTTCCTTAATAGGACACGGCACAATCCCAGGACGAGTCTCTTAGTTACCCCCTCAACCCTCTCTCTCCGAATAAGTGTGTGTTGGAAGCTAAACTAAAGTTGAAGTTTGGCACACCACGAATGCTCTTACTCTGATATCGTCACTGGCCTAACTTGGTGCTCACTACATGACAATGTCTTTCAGTTAGAATTACCCAAAAGCTTATGCATTAACCCGACTTCAAACAACGCCATGATCAAGACCTTCACTGTCATATAAAAAATTCTATGATAGATGAGAACTACAGTTAGCAACTATCAATATAAAATGATAGTGTTAGTTTTCATTGTTGTGTTTTCCCTTGTCAAAAAGAATACGGTGATCGGGTGAATTTAGGAGGCCCATGTGAAGACATCACTGCATCCATGGACAAGAGTTAGGTTCCCGTCGGTCTTTAATGTTGCATGGCTATGCACCATAAGGAAAAAGGAGTCTGATATGAACAAGCATTACTAAAGTGGCTATTCTCTGACCACGTGTCCATTTCTTGTGGCTTTAGTTAGGTGATACATATATATATATATATATATATATATATATATATATATATATATATATATAGAGAGAGAGAGAGAGAGAGAGAGAGAGAGATGTAGATGTAGATGTGTGTATGGGGGACTAATGCTAGTTCATGACCTCACATGCATAGTTGTATTTCCGTTTATGTGAAGGTTAGTTTGGCACTACTATCTGACTATACCAAACTCATCTTACACTTTGATACACAATTTACGGTGCCAGACTTCATCGTGTTAATGTTTTAAAATCCAAAGGAAAACAGAAGAAATAATTTATCAACATGAGAAAGTTTTAAGAAACAGTCGTGTATCTCGAATATATATCATGTTTATCCATCTACTATTGTTTGGTCTGTACTTTAAAGCACATCAATTTTTATTCTATGAAAATCCCCTTATATAAAATAAACTATATTTGTTCCAGTAGGTTCAACAATCGCATATCGCTTGATGTTAAAGATACTTTATAAACATTATCTCTCTTAAAGCGGTCTATTTTAAAGACAAAATCCTGAGAAAAACATCAAGATCCCATGGGAGCATTCAGATCCCAAGCCTCGGATGCGGTTCTCAACCATATCTTTTATAGTACACATATCATCTCAATTGTAAAATTGCGTGCAGATATAGTTTACTCAAGTGCTCATAATAAGTTACAGCACACAACTAATTGAGTTCTCCAATATTGATGGTAGGCAAAACACCTAAGTGCAAACATCCTACTACTTATATAACAAACCTGATATGTTTTAAGCCACAGATTCCAGCTTTATGAACTTCAACACTTAGGTTTTATACATATTATGTGTTTATATGTAGGTTTAGTCCCCGTTTAGTAATTGGCTAACTGCATTGATAAGATATCCTCCATGCTCCAGTAGTTGCTGTTGTCGTTTGTACAACAACTGGAATGATCAGGATTTGTGTGAAACTGAGTTGAAAATGGTTCTAACATTCCTTGATAACAGGATGGAGAATAGGTCTCCATGGGCTCAGCCATGGTAGACACTTGGCTAGTGCAAGCTTGGTGATCATTTGTCTCAGAATTACTCTGTTGCTGGCATCTCTCATTTTGCTTCATGTGCTTCTGGATCCTAGTCCTCCAAAAGTTCTTGATCTCATTATCGGTCCTTCCGGGTAGTTGCTTGGCAATTTTGGACCACCTGCGTTGGGAAATGAATAATTTGTAACAGAGAGTAACAGATATCTGAATAGTATAGTACTGGTTTTTGTCTTGATTGTAAAACTTCTGAAATGAGTAAATTTCAGATATTCTTACCGAACAAATATATTAATTATGAAATATCTACCATTTTCTATATAATAATTTTTTTTTATGAAATCTATGAAGTTATGAGTAAGACTGGAAGAATATATTAAATCGAATTCACACTATTCAATAATTTCTAATAAATTTGAATCATATGCGAACTTCTTTTATTTTTTTTGTTTTTATCTAAATAAGTTTTTTAAAAATAACTATATACGCAAAGTAAGGATTTTGACAAGAGTACATATTCCTTTATAACATTGAATTTGTCCCCTCCAAACCCGTTTGTTACAACTTTTTTCAATATAAAAAAAGATTTTCTTCGAAAAAAAATCAATATTTTTAAAAACTGGCCATTTGTTTCATCTTTACAAAATAATTACAATTTAGAGAATATAAAATTTTATTAAAATAATATATATATATATATATATATATATATATATTAAATGAGTTTTATAATTATACACAAACATAAACAATTTCTACTTATTCTAAAATTAATGATATATGTTTATAAATACAATAAGTTCTATAATTAATTAAGATATAATTAAAATTTAGAGAGTGTCTGCGAGTAAAAGAATAAATTTTGTGGGTTTTTTTTTTTCTATTTTTAATTGATAACAAATGGGAATGAATGAATGAATAAATTGTTCGAAGCTAAAAAAAAAATTGTTTTAGAATTATTGAAGCAGACACCTAATTAATGTGCAGACACCTATTACAATTTACATGTAAAAAGGCAGATGATCATGTGACTGGGTCATTGAAATATGTGAAGAGAGAGTGTAAAGGAGGGTGGAAGGGGAAAAGTAAGGAAAAATGTTTTGGGCAATTTCTTGAAAAAGAAAGGATTAATTAGTTGAAATCTAATTAAATGCTGTCTGAGGTTGTTGAAAGCATCTTGATTTTGATTAGGAAAAAAGTGGCGACTCCTATATTAAATAGGGTTGTGTCTGAAAGGAGGGCATGTTCAATGGCTGAGGATGAATCTGACCATATGTTGGACTCACTTATAAAACGATCATTGTGGAGGTACGCAAGATGCTGAATTTCTGAGTTTCCTTTGATGTATGCCTTTGCTTTGTAGCAGGGGCTACAAGATAATAAGAAAACCAGATTTCTCAATGAATGCCTCGGGTAGAGAGTATATGCTTCACATCTCTCTTCTCTTCTCTTTGTACTTCTTTTCATTCCATTATCTACAAAAGGTTCTATTTTTCGTGTGTACACAATTACTTATTTTCTATCCCCTCCCTATATGTTCTTGTAATTGCCTCGTAAGAACTTGTTTTGCTTGAGCTGTAGGCTGAGACAGAAAAATTGGATAGTGAGAATGGTACGGAGGGTGGAGGTAGTAGTTGTTTATATATACACCATATCAACTTATCCTCAAGGACACCTGCCCTAGTCAAGAAAAGCCAACAGGGTATGGTTTGGGCCGTTTTCATTACCTAAACTCTATCAAATATTTCACTTTCATTAGAACAAGAAACATGTAAAAATGTGCCCACTTCCATTAAAAGAAGGTCCCCTGCTCTAGTTCACTTCCTTCTCATCCACCACCTTCCTTATAGAGATACCCAGTTGTAAATTAAATTCCTTTAGGAGATCAAACTTTTATTCTAATTTATACTACTAATACTCATAATCAACCATTGATTTTTTTTTTAATTTCTTTTTCTTTACGCTTTCCACACATTACTCTTGCTTTTTCATGCTAATCCTATCATTTTCCCACTTAAAAACAACCGCCTTGTATATCTTAATTTATATTTTTTGTTTTTTCTTCACATATATCACCTTTTTAGCTTTATCTTTTTCTCTTAATTCTCCCTTCTTTTTATCTACACTGTAATTTTACGACTACCTTGTTCCTCTTTATTTTCTCATCTCATTCCATTTATATATATTCACGTCATCACATATGTTCTCTTATATTTCTCCTTCTCTCTCTTTTGTTAGACTTGTTTTATACTTTTTCTTCTTCTTTTCTCAATGTTTTTTTCTATGGCACTTCAATTTTAATAATCACCTTACAACTCTTTCTCTCTCTGGTTTTTTCATGATATATATCACTGATGCATATTCCTTATTATTTGCTAACCTTACTTTAAATAATAATAACAATTATTTTGAAAAATATTATATATATATATATATATATATATAATAGACCAAAATAAATTATATAATATTTATCTTTCACTTTATATTATGGAATATAAATAAGAAATATGGTGTTATATTTGGTATATTTTCTATGTTAGTATTAATTTGTATTATGTTATAGATAACTAAGTTTTTTAAACTCTCTTTGATCTTTTTCTTTTCTTTTCTTTTCATATCATTCTCTTTCCTTTTATTTTATTGCACTTTTCATACACTCTTAATTTAAATTAGAATATATATATATACATATATATATATATATATATATATATATATATATATATATATATATTTGTATTATTAGTTTCTTTAAATTTGCATGTGCTTTAAATTTTACAACCACTCTAATCCTTCATCTATATGCATATACATATATATTAGAGGTACATTTCCTTTTTTTTTTTTATTCTACGTGTTCCTACTTTTACCATTATAAAGAGTTGTAAGAGATGGAAGAAAATATAATATGACAAGAACATATTTTTTGGGAGAATAGATGCTGATTCAAGCTTGAAATGTTTTTTCCTTTTCTTTTGGAATAATTCCAGTGCACATATTGCTTTTCCAGCAGCTTCTCTAAATTTGATTTTATTTCACTATTATAGTTTACTTTAAAAATAAAATGCAAAGTGTATAAAGTAAGAAAAAAAAATTCACGAAACAACATTACAACTAGAACATATTTCAAAATCAAAGAGAAAAAAAGGGACATGTACCATATTTTTATATTTCTTATATATCATAACTCAGGACGTGAGAGGTGAGGATCAAATGCAACAGTAGATGGACAACATGTACCGTTTAAAGGAAAAATTCAGTTCATTCATACATGGATGAGAATGGGAATCATTTCGAGGCTCTAAAATTTTATATATAGATTTTCCACAAGAACTATGTGTGTCTTCAACAAGTCCCATATATTTTGAAATCTTTCTTGGTTAAAGTTCTCTCCTTCCTCACAAATAGTCTCCCAAGAATGTACTGATCGTGCCATCTAATATATGCAATGTTAAAAGAGATCAACAAACAACTGCACCGTTTTCAAAATAGAGAAGGGTGGTGACTAAAGGCTAAATTATAAATTTGGCTTCTCTCTAATTCTTATCCAGGATTTTCATATTTTTATTTTTCTTAACAATTTTAGTCTTCATATTACAAAAACTTCATAATTTGGTCAAATTCTCAACATCTTTTACATATATTTCTTGACTAATTAAACCTTAAAACTAACCAATTTATTTAAGGTACCATGAAAAAATAATTTAATTAACTAAAACGTAAAATTAAAAAAAAAATAAAAATAAAACGAACATAAAATTGAAGATTGAATAAAAATGAAAATTTTCTAAAATATAAGAACCAAAAGGCAAAAGTTATAATAGAAAGAACCAAAATGGTGGATCTGAGATTTAAAAAAAAAATTACCATTTACCCTAACAAAGGATCTTGGTGGTGGACACATATGGACTATATTATTGTTTTAACATATATATATATATATATATATATATATATATATATATATATTTTAAATGAATGCTGATGTGCAAACAAGTTTGTTTTTATTATTCATATATAAATTGTGTGATAAAGTTCACCTGTTTCCCCACTTTGCATGAAGTTCCATGATCAAGAGCTGTTCCTCGGGTGTAATATTCCCTCTTCTAACATCGGGACGGAGGTAGTTTAGCCACCGGAGCCGGCAGCTCTTTCCAGTACGTTTAAGACCTGTTGAAGCATGATGACGATCAATCATTCTCTCGCAACCCTAGGTCTTTTAGTTGGAACAACAGATAGATGAAGAAGAAAATAGAAAGAAAACAGTGGAAGAATGAAAAAAAAAATGACAGTTAAAGAGCAAAAATATGTTTACCAGCAGCTTTCGCCAAAGAGTTCCAAACACCTTCACCATGATTTGCGATGTAGTTGATCAAGATTAAGTCTTCTTCCATTGTCCATGGCCCCTTTCTCACCTCAGGATCATGAGACATGCTGGATAGTTTTTTGTCCATTATTTAGTATGAGAGAGAGAGAGAGAGAGAGAGGGAGGGAGGAGGGGGAGAGGGGGAAGAGAGATGTTGAGATGTTAATAAGGGTTTGGCAGGTTTAAATAGAGGCAAGGCTAAGTCATTTGGTAATTGTAATGAACATTGTGTATTAGGGATAATGAAATGTTTCCACGTACCTAACTATGTTTCTCATGTCAACACATGCATGCATGACTATGATTTTGCCATACTATAAGAGACGAGTGTCTTTACGTAGTCTCAAGTCACACGCACATGCACTCCATATTTGAACATCGGGTGTCTATGCTATACATTTTCTTCAAAAGAAGAAACAATATAAGATATAATAGAAATCCTACCAGCATTAGAGGTTATAATTAAGAAGCTTAAAATTGTGGGGGAGTGAAAGATTAATTCAAATGGTCCCACTTGAGGAAATATGATCTCTCTGGACTATCCAAACAAGTCAGATACACACAACTTTTTTTTTTCTTGCTCTTTATAACCTGTAATAAATGACTATTAAGTAAGAAATTGAAAATAAAATCAAATATTATGCATACATAAATAATGTTTCTCCTTTATGTATTTTTTTTTCTCTCTTAATTACGGTGTAATAATTATTAGGTTAGATTGTTTCACAAAAGCTTGGCCACAGATACCTCCACGTATTATATGTACTATATATTATATATACAAGAAAGTATTGTGAAGTAAGTAGATGTCATATAATAACACCATAAATTTCCTCATTATATCACTGAAATATGTGTTTATTTATATATCAACAAAATATATCATTATACTAATTAGTACTCATTATAGTAATTAGTATGGATTTTATTATGTGTTTTATCGCACACACACGTGTATATATATATATATATATATATATATATATATATATATATATATATATATATATATACCATTTGCTCATGAATTTATCTAAATAAAAAATTTTCTCAACTTTATCCAAGTTAAAGTTTTATGGCGGGAGGAACTTTTTATTTTTTTTTTATCTTGAATTAGTTAAAATATAGAGAATTTCTAATTTTTCATAGAGAAATTTATTTTTAATTTTTTAGTAATTTAATAATATAAAATAATAATAAAAATTCAAATCTTTGACAAAAGATAAAAAATAAATCTAAGTGAATTTATTTATTTATTAATTAATTTATACTAATAAAATATCTGTATCTCCAATTTTTTATATAATTAATTTTTTAAAATATCATTTTGATTTTTTTTAAATATATAAGTTATAATAATTATTTTATTCTCTCTCTCTCTCTCTCTCTCTCTCTCTCTCTCTCTCTCTCTCTCTCTCATATATATATATATATATATATATATATATTCTACAATTTTCTCATAATTGAAAGAATCTCGGTCATTTTGTATCTTTCAAATCATATGGCGACACTATAACGTTAGAGAATTTTTTTTTTTTAAGACCTACACAATATTAGAAGCTAACAATGGAAACAGTCATATATGTTACAGTTAATCGTGGGATCAGAGTAAGACACTGTAGTATCATCTTGGATCTGCGTTTTAAAAATATATTTCTGCCTGATCTTATAGTTGTAATTTATTTATGTATAAATTCAATAAATTAATATAAATATTAGCTTAAAATAAAACAATATTTTATTTTTATATGCATAAAAAATGTAGTTGATATTTAGTGTTTGTCATAATTTTTTTTAAGTTGAAGACATGATACGCAATAACATTATTGTAAAAGATAATTATGCGTATTTACTGTTTGTCATAATTTTTCTATTTTTAAGTTCAAGACATGAATGTATTTATATTATTTAAAATTATTATTTTTATATTTTTACCGCGCATGTAATATATTTTATAACTATGACCGAGACTTACGTAACTGTTGGAATAGGATTCAACACAACATTCTTTTTGTTCTTGAGTCACTAATAAAAAAATTAAAAAGGGTTAGGATAATATATCATGAAAGTTATAATTTATTGTTATAATAAGCGATACAATAATAATATTTAAATATGATAAATTTATTATATCAATTATTATTAAAATCCACATACAAAATATTTTTAAGGTTAAAAAAACAAGTTTTCTTTTGTATTGTTAGTCGTTGAACCCAGTTCGTCATTTTTTTTTCTCTTGTTCGCGCCAACACCTTCAAATAATGTTCCTTCTTTTGTATTGTTCATCCTGATCATGTTAGTCTTTGTCTTCTTAACCTTCTTACCTTTTTGGTTCACAAAGTTTCGCAAAAATTTAATTCTTCTTTAATACCTTGTTAACGTCGATGTTTTTCTTTTGCTATCTTTATTTTTGTCATGTATATTTTTATTCTAAGATATTGTTTTTATGCATATTTGAATGTAATCGTATGGTAAATAGGATTAAAGGAGAATTTGGATTTGGTTTAGGTTTAGCGTAATATAGGGGAATGAAGATGAGGTTGAGTTCGTGTGAAAAATCTTTAACTCTATTGGTAGATATGTATGTGTGAAGTTTTGGATGTTGGATGAAAGGTTGGTAAGACTTTCCATGTTCAATCTGAATGTTTTCATTTTAAACTATTTAATTTTGGATTCTTTATTTTATATGTTCCCTAAATTTACGTCACGTGTAATAATGGCATAATAAGTGAAAATACATGTTAATTATAAAAAGAGAAATTCAACAAAGCTCTTAAAAATCTTTGGACATTATTTTCTCTGTAGTTTTAAAAATATTTTTTTTAAATAAGATATATAAAATAAATGAGTCAAATAAATAAAGACATTACACATGTACTAGTTCACCCATCAAAGACTATGTGTTAGTCTCCTTAAAGGGTTGAATACATTAAACCACTCATTGCTATAAACAAATATATGAAACCACTTGATATATAATAAAGTAAGGTGTAAAATTTTAAAAAGATAAGATACAGAGTTTAAACAATAAAGTAAGTAAAATCAAGGAAAATTTTCATTGAACACCAAGATGTTACCTATATAGGTGTGAAGGTGCATTTCCAGGGATTGAGGAGGGAGCAGGAGATGGAAGAAGCTAGAGACAATAGTTGAAAAAATGGACTATCCCCTTAGATAAATGGTGTGAAGAAATAAAGAAGAAAAGATGAAAAAAAGAGAAGTATGGTGGTGATGGAGTGTTGACATGCCACCAGGAGATGAGTTACTTAGATAAGTGGTGGTGGTCGCCAGTTGAACAAAAATTCAAGATAAGACATTCTAAGAAACCTTACACACTTGTCAGTGGCGGATATTTGTAGGAGACGTTGTGATCCCTAAGGTTTTGTAACTTAGATTAATATTTATGATTTTGATCCTCCAAACTTAATAATTATTTTTTAAAGTTTTGTAACATATATTAACATTTATGATTTTGGTCTTCCCATATTTAATGATTATTAAGTATACTTGCTTGTATATTTACAAATTTGACCTCTTTCCTTTTCATATTTTTTTTATCTTTTCACATTTATTTATTATTTATTCATAATATATTATTTGATCCCTCAGGATCAATGGTTAAGATTCGTCACTAACACTTGTCATGAATGTTTAACTTAATTATGTGAGGGAAAATCTTCTATTTATAAGCTTTTGGGGAAGAAACTTATATGAAATTATAAAAATGAGACATAAACTTAACCTAAACTGAAAAACTAAGAGTTACCATGACCCAAATATGATAAATTTGTCCTAGCCCACCAAAATAAGGGTGTGGAGAACATGAAAAAAAATGTATGCTTCTTTTTGGGTTGTCCAAACCTACCAATTTCGCATCTCAAGTTTCTTCATCTCAAAAAATGGTGTAGGACGTGAAAAATGAGTGTCTTACACCTTTAGGTAGCCCATGCAATTATCCTATATATCTAAGTCTTCTTTTCCACTAAAAAAGAGGTAATGGTCTTCAAAAAGGAGGTGTATAAAGTGGTTCTAAAAAAAATGCAAAAATAAGTCTCTAATATTTAAGAAATAAAAATGTTAAGAAATTTTCAAATGGAGGGTAAGGAGGAGGTCTTCCTTCTAGTCATGCTCCTCGTGATCCTTCTAAGATGACTTCTTCTACTTCTTAGGCAACTAAGGACTCATTCAAGCAAGTTCAAAATGATAATACAACTTTAGATTTTTGAAATGGTTATGTGAGTCTAACTTTGATGTGATATGTTGGAATATGTATGATATAAATAATTATTCATTTTATATAAAAACTGAAGATGAAAAAAGCACAATGCAAAATAATGGAGTAATGATCTTGGTTAAATCAATGTATTTCTCTAGTTTGTGTTACTTTAGTGTAATTGAAGATATATGGATAATTCATTGCACAAGTTTCAAAGTACCTATTTTTAAGTGTAAGTAGGTGGATAGAAATAAAGGTGTCAAAATTGATGACTTAGTTTTTTACCTTAATTGACTTTGAAAAGACAAGTTACAAAGAAGAGTCATCATCATGATATATCAAGTGAAAAGTATTTGTCACTAATCCTACTAATAAAAGATGGTCTATAGTTCTCTCAAGGAGAACCATTAGTCATGAGAATGATGATTTTACACTTAATAGAAGTTAAATTTAGTCTTTTTTCACAAACATGTCAACCTTGGATGTGACAATGAAGTAAACGATATATATGTCAATCATGAAGGATTAAGGGAGAACATTCCAATTTGAAAATGTAATAATTTAAATATGTATATTTATCATTTATTTTCAATTTATAATAATATAATAATTC